TAGTGATGTGAACTAAATCCGGATTCTCCAAAAATCCGACAAATCCGGATTTTGAAATCCGAAATCCGAAAATCCGAAATTCGGATTTCAAAATCCGAAAGTCCAAAATTCGGATTTCAAAATCCGAAAATCCGAATTTTTAGTTTTACAATGCTTATTTCTGTTTTTTAAACCTGAAAGTCAAATTTTAGGTTCTTAATTAAATTGAAATAAGTAAATCAAATCATTTTCACTTCTAAAGTCTAAGATACTGTGTTTTTATTTTAAAATGTATTTGTATAATTGATTTATTTAGTGTAGCTATTTCCGATAACGACCGATTATATATATAAAAAATTACAAAAAATATTTTGACGTCGGCTAATCTTGCGCCCTTGTCGTATCGTATGTCTAGAAAATGATTTATTTTGACTATAAAAATCGGTCAATATATATGTATATAATAAAAATATGTAAAACAAAAGCATTATTAACAAACAGGTTGTCTTTAAAAAGACAGTTTTAAAAGTTGACCACCGTACCGCTGCGCCTAAAACTTAAAAATATATATATGTATATCATGCAGTATATTCCATATAAATTATTATTATCCAGTATCTTGCTTTGGAGAAAACAAGTCATGCAACTATTTATATTCTACACATTATGTCTTATAAACCACAAAACTGTATAGTTATAATACTATTCGTTACCGAGCCTTTGTTATCTGGGCCTACCTAGATAATATGTGCGCGTCTGACTACCTAAGCAAAATATAGGACGGCTTGTATTTTACGATCGGACGGTTTTCTAACCGTCCGTTACCATTATGTGCAGTGCGCAGTGCATTTGTATGTTATCCTAAGACGAAGCAAGAAGTCATCGTTGTTCCACGTAAGTACGTTTTATTATAGAAATTTATAAGTGAATTCATTATAATCATAAAGGAAAAATGGGGATTTTATAATAAAATCAATTGTAAAAATGTAGTGAGATATTTCAAATATTTTGGTAAATTAAATTATATATAAAAGTGCGCTTAAAATTACCGTAAAAGGATATTCGCTCTAATACCGCGTGGTACGCATATAAGAAATGCCGAACATTTAATTATTTTTGACCTTTTAAACAAAAAAAAAAATTAAGTTAAAATAGATAATAAGAATTGGAACGCCGTGTCCGTATGGACTCGATGCCATAACAAATAAGTTGAGTTTTCTTATGATCGAAATTATTTTGAGTGCCGTAATTAACGCGTCAACTTGTGACAAATATTAGCCGTTCTTAATGTTATTTAAATTATGCCGTGTACAAAAAATATATCTTGCCGTAAATACATAAAAAAGGTCGACGGTAAAACCGGACATAAGTATGTCGTCGGGGGTTAGCCGGGATATTATTTGCCAAATAATAATATATCAGTCGATCTGAACAAACGCAGAGACAAACCGCCGTATAAATAAAATATTAAAAACTCAACGGTAACCAACCGGAAATATGTATTTAATCACTACCAAAATCGCTGATGACATTCGCGTATTAACAACAAGAATATTTAAAATTCAAAAATTCGATCCGGACGTATAAAATAGAGGTTAATTACTCCTTTCTCTTAAACTACCCATATGATCTACGTTCGAAATTCAAAGATATGTGTTAGTGGTGTGTTAAAGATTTTGGTCTTCAGACCATAAGCAAATAACTCAATAAAATATTGAATTTGCAGTAAAAATGCGGCACTAAGCGGCAATATCGGCAACAATGGATCTGCGGCAAAAATAAAATTGCGGCGATGCATGGCCATGGCAAAAACGGCAATCGGCAAATAAAAACAGATAGAATCAAATTCAAATTGATTATCTGCAACGTGTGGCAACGTGCGGCCGAATATGATCGCTTCCTTGGCTGCGGGCGGCAACGTGCGGCTAAAGATGAAACGAACGGCAAGTAACGGCTAAAACGCTGATGTAAATAAAATTCACAAATTTTATAATAGTATGGTAAACAAATATACGGCACTCCAGTATGATTAGGCGTTAATATAAAGGGGAAGGAAAAAAAAAATTTAACCTAGTTTCTTATTGTATTCTAGGTAGCAATGCGTGCATTGTTTATCGTAATGAGGTCACGCTTGCAGTAAACAAATCGTTTCAAATCAAGGGTAACTATAATATTTTTTTATTTTAACAAAACTAATTAAACTTATACAATAAATTGTTTTATAATAAAGTATTTATTTTAGGGATGAAGTCCGCGGATTCAAGTTCCTATGCTTTAAAAGAAATTCGTTTGTGAGGTCATAAAACAAACGATCGGCGGTGGCGATTCTGACGTTGATTTTTCGGCATATCAATTCCTCAAATATTACGGTTGCTCCGAGGGATGGTGAAATTCGGTCCCGGCTCATTCCTATTGCCGGGAGTGTCACCCATGTAAAAACAACAAAAATAGCCATAACGACAACTAAACATTATAAACTCATTTAGCTTAATATATCATATAAAATAAATAACAAAATCAATATGTATTAACTTAAGTAATAAGTATAAATTATAAACGAATAATAGTTGTAAATAATATTCTATAATAATAACAATAACAATAATAATAATTGTCTGCAAATTGTAAACCTAACAGTAAGCAGAAGAAAGAAAATAATTTATTACAATAATAAATAATCTTAATATTATAATAGTCGGTATAATAAATGTTTTTGATAATAATAATTGTTATAAATTAGGTAACTATAAATAGCATATTATAATAATTAAATTTTCAATTTTTTAATAATAATAATAATAATAATAATAATAATAATAATAATAATAAATTTGGTCATTTTAAAGCGCGTTTTTCAAAAACACCAAAGCTGATAAATGGTAAGGAGTCATTCTATTTCGCTTTGGTGTTATAATATTCCCAGCTGTCGAAAATACGCGTTCAGACGATGCTGATGAAGCGGGAATGCATAATATGCTTTTTGCTAAAATCGACACAGTGGGATATATATTTTCACGTGATTTCCACCACAAAGAAGGATTCTCATTATGGTTAATTTGTGGTTCTGACAAATACCGAGTAAATTCGTCTTCATCATCCTCAAAAAAGTGGCCCATTAGCTCGTCTAAGATTGTTGGTTTTACAATTTGAATGTTACTACCGTCTGCAGTCGTCAAAACCGATGATATTTTCGATCGCACAGTTGCTCGAATACGGATTTTAATTTGCTCGGATGGTTCAAAATTGAGATTTTTATATCTAGGATCGAGCAGACTTCCCATTTGTGATACATTCACCGGTATGTCATCTAAATCTTCTTCTTTCATTAAAAATCGTTTGGATAAATCTTCGGCAACTACGTTTTTAAATCCTGTAGCAAACATGCAATCCGATTCATTCAATTTCAAATGTTTGCTCATAAGACTTGCAATAAGTGGTCGAACCTGAAATACAATAAATAAGTTTTACATGTTTTTATATTATTGAAAAACAAAATTGCTTGTTACCAAGTTTGTATTATGTTGTATATTTACCATTGATATCGTTATTTGCTGCTCAGAACATAGTATTGTCGTGGTTAATTGCAGAGGCTTTAACAACTTGACGAGGATTTCACATTTGTCCCAGTCGTTTTCCAACATTTCTAATTTTTTTGCGGTTTTTACATTGAAGTGCTCTCGATCCGATAAGACTGACACAACAGCCCTGCGCAGTAAAAGCAAACGTTCCAACATTGCTAAGGACGAATTCCATCGAGTGGGACAACTTTGGACTAGAGCTAACTGTTTTTGACCCGTCTGTTGTAAATATAGCTGTAATGCATTAGATCGCTTAGGAGATTGTCTAAAAGCAGCAACAATCGAAGACGCTACTTTTAATATCCGACTACAAACACTTCCATTAAGACCTTTCTTAATGGCTAATTGGATTGTGTGTGCTGCGCATCTATTTGAGTATAAATTGTATTCCTTTTCCAAACTTTTGACTGCATTTGATATATTTAATGCATTATCATGTGTAATGCCAGTGACCTTATTAGACAAATGCCATTTTTCCACAACCTCCAAAATTTCGTCTTTAAGGTGGTCAGCCGTATGGGATTCTAAGATTTCGTCAATTGATAATGTTAAATTACGCAATATCCAATTTTTATCAAAATAATGACCAGTGTATGTGATATAAGAGTCTATAGCCATTGAACTCCAGCCATCAGTAGTTAGAGCGATACCGTTAATATTTTCGAGATAAGTTTTTGTGTCGTTTACTTTATCTTCGTATAATTGTTCTATACGATTACTTATTGTTTTTCGACACGGTATCTGATAGTTAGGTTCAACCAATTTCATAAGTTTTTTAAATCCTTCATTTTCAACAAAGGAAAAAGGCAGCAAGTCACTAGTAATAACTTCACAAATGCCATGTGTTATAAGTTCTTTGCGTTCTTTGTTTAATGGCCTATCTTTTAATGATTTTGTGTTGTACGTTCGTTTTAAACGTTTTTGAAACAGAGGGCTAGTTGACTCTGTGGATGTCGAGGCTGTTTGATCAGTGAATGTCGAGGCAGTTTGACCATTGGGTGTAGAGACTGTTTGATTAGAGGATGTCGAGGCTGTTTGATCAGTGAATGTCGAGGCAGTTTGACCATTGGGTGTGGAGACTGTTTGATTTGTGGATGTCGAGGCAGTTTGACCATTGGGTGTAGAGACTGTTTGACCAGTTGAAATAGCTATCTGTTCATTCTCGCTTTGTTCAACGTCATCATGCACCCTATAAGGTATACGAAATAAATAAATTATGATTGAAAATAAACTGTCATAATGTTAACAATAAATTAATATTATTTACTGAAAAAAGTAGGAGCTGTTTATTTTACGTTGATACGATGTAATAATTAACGTGTAAAAACAATTAAGAGTTAAAAGTTGTTTTAAATGTTAAATAAGTTAAAAATATGTAGTACCTAATTTGTAAAAAATAAACATGTCTAAGTAAATATTTATTTTAAACATTTTGTTTTGTCGAATGTTTATGGATCACCTGTATTTTCAATACTTACCAATACCTCATTATGTTCTGTTTAAATAATAATAGCATCGATATTTTTTGGATATCTTTGTATTTAGGTCTTAAGAGAGACTGAAAATAAGTCACTTAATTTTGGATTTAAATTATAATAATAATCTTTATTGACGGAAATACATTCCAATTCACAATAATATAATATATGACAGAGATGTAGTATTTATATATGTAGTGTAAGGACAGTAAGTGTTTAAAATATAAAAGCATCCATTATAAAATTAAAAAAAGTAGATTAAAAAATTAATCCAAAAAAAACGTTTTTATGCGCCTTAAAAAGGATAAAATAACCTTCCTGGCGTCTTGATAACCAAATAGAATAGGTGAACTAGAAAAACCTGGGGCGCATCTTTCTACTTAGATATTAAAACCTAAGCTTTCATGCTAATACATTAAGTTGTCTCTCATAATGCTGTCGAGATGAAAAAACATTTTTTAATCGCTTTCAAAGATGCTATCATAGTCCGAAAAATAAATTAACTACCAAAATAGAGTCCTAATTATTAAACAAATAATTACACATCACAGTTTAACCTTTAAATTAAGATTTTGTAAAAAAATGCCTATACTTTACCCTTAAAAAGGGGCGGTGTGACGGAACGGTAAGCGCTATTTATTGAGGGGCAAAGGATAGGCAATATTTGTCATATTTAGGCACTTTTTGAGATTTAGCGTACCTATATCTAAAAAAGTAGAGCTGACAGGAAAAATCTGATGACATATTTGAAATCAGCATTTAAAATACTATTAAAACCAGCAGGAAAATCGTACGCACCAAAATGTGTGTTGGGCCAGTGTTATTAATATATTATTATCGATAAACGTTAAAATCAAAACAAATATCATAAACCTTTTCCGCCAGAAGGGATGAAACTTTTTTCTTTATATCGCTTTTAGGGATTGAGGTCTAAAAATTAGTCAGAAGGTACCGATAAAATGGGTCCATGAAATACCTACTCAATTTTATTTGAAAATCTGAACTCAATTTTTTTTTATAAAGAGAAAAATACTCTTTGACTATAGTCAATCTCTAGGTTGCTATGTGTGAGTGCATCAACAGTCAACAGGTAGGTATTGAAAATAATTCGGCAATAAATTATTAAAGATAGGCAGTCAACCCTATTTTTTTCGTATTTTGCCTAATATTTCTATTTTTTTTTACTCAAACATTATTTTTAACTAATTAATTAAAAAGATAAATACATTTTTATAATAAATTACTTTTAAAGAGTGTTATTTATAAATAATACTTGATAATTAAAAAAATAATACTTTATATAACAATACTTATTTGTTATTACATCATCGTATCTATCTAATAAAAAACAGTTAGTTTGAAATTTATCAAAATATAATTTAATTACCTTTTGTTTTTTTTTTTTTTGTGCCACGCATTGTAATGTGTCCACAACGGCGACGTCGATCCATTATTCATTAGAACATCTTCGCAAATTATGCACATGGCAGACTCATTAGACTCGTTGCGTATAAAATATTGCCATACTTTGCTGGGAGCCATGATTACACTTACTTATACACTAGTAAACTTTTATTGTAAAATATTTGTCACGTAGGATAGATGTGTAATTTGTGCAATGTGCACTGTGCATGTATAGCATGTAGGTACAATGTGTATTGTTTGGTATGTTATCGCCAAAGTTGATTTTAAGAACAATTTAGTAAATTACCCATGCTTTATTTACCAATAAGCCGGTTTTCTTATCTGATAGTAGTGTAAGAAATTTATATACAGGGTGGTTAATCAATTATATGATACTCATGTTCTTATAAAATTCGTAAAATTGTATCGTTTATTATTAAAAAAACATTTTGATTTATATTATTATACATTTTATAAAATTACAACGTTTTCATTGAGAAAATCTGAAATCCGGAATTAAAACAAATTTCTGATTTCGGATTCCAAAACCCAGAAAAGTCCTAATGCTTAGTTTACTAATAAGCCGGTTTTTATGTTATCCTATATTAAATCTAAGTAATTATGTGTATAAATATTATAATCGGTCGTTATCGGAAATAGCTACACTAAATAAATCAATTATACAAATACATTTTAAAATAAAAACACAGTATCTTAGAATTTAGAAGTGAAAATTATTTGATATATATATATTTCAATTTAGATAAGAACCTAAGATTTGACTTTCAGGTTTAAAAAACAGAAATAAGCATTGTAAAACTAAAAATTCGGAATTTATCGGAATTTAAAATCCGAATTTTGGATCTTGGTCTTACGTCCATATGTATGACGCATTGATCTTATAGTTTATTAGCATTTGTAGAACTATATTAATTATTTCCCTTATTAATGTAAGCACATTAGTATAAGCAGAAGGTGGCAGCAAACATATATTCATAGATACATTCTACAGACATAATACCTAAGCATATTAGCCTTTTTTTTGTTAGGTTAGGTAATAAAAATATTATGGCCCTTCTTAATGTAAAGGTTTTAATAAGCTTGTAACCTCTTATTATCTGGTATCTAAAATTATGCTTTCGAAATACAAGTATAAAATACCTTGTAATTATTTTTCAAAATTAATTAATAATAACGTTAAATTCTAAGATAAAAATATAAAGTCAACTACCAAGCAAGTTTATATTTGCTGAAATTACGAAAAAATAACGATTAAATATTTAATCTAACTTAAAGATTTTTCGGCTGAGGTTATCGTATATTTATTTCTATAACTTAAATAGTTTTATTTATTTATTAGCAGTACCTATTTAACTTGGATTAACACTTAAGTCCCTTAATATTTAAAAGATACAAGAAACATAAATACATTAGCGGTTTTTATATTTTCCTAATATTTAAGAAAAGGAATGTGATCGACAAATAAAACAAGTACAATTTAATTTAAACTTACCAGGACTAACGTAATCTGAAACATAGAATAAAGTATTTATAATATAAAAAAATAAATATATTGTAATCAAATATTTGGATTTTTTTGTAATTCCTTATTTAAATTTAATATGTATGCAAATTTTTTTTAAAATTAACTCTTGGCCATTCTAAATAACGCCAATAGTTTTCATAGTAACGGCTGATAGCCATTCACAATAAGTTTATTGAGAGTCTAGTTTTTTGGTATTTTCCAAACTATAGATGTAGGATCAAATCAAACATAGATACATTCTACTCACACTACAGCTAAACACATTGACCTCTTTCTTCTATCTTTCTAACGGGTGAAAATTGTTAGGTTACGTTAAGTAAATAAAAAACAACGCCCTTATAAAATATACATTTTTAAGAAAACAAATATATGGACTTACCATATAGTCTTGATGCTGCAGGAGCTGCTGGGTCTCTTTCTAAAACAATGAACAAAATAACCTAAAATCTAAATACTTATTTAATCTATTGCATAACTTTTCTAATTAGTACTTATTAAGTTGTACCTAAAAATTTTAATCAAGTTGTTACCCAATAGTCCAATTTTATATTTTTAAATATAAGTACTTCTAGATAAACAAAATGATATAATTTGCTAATTAACATGGCAGAGTTATTTTTATTTTCATCAAAGTAAAGTACTCGTTAAGTAATCAGAATGATCAAATAATATGTTTCCCATTGTTCCATAATAAACAAATTCAATAACTATAGAAGGGTATCATCCATAATATATTTTTGTAGTTAATATAATAATATTCATGTCTATAGTTGTTTTTATTAGAAGAAATGCCTCCAAATAAAATTATGAATTTATTTTTTCATTAATAAATTAATTTTTTTTTATAAGCCGTAGTATATAATTTTTATATTTATTTATTATTTGTTTTTCATTTTATTAATTTAATATTTTGAATAAAATAATTTGGAAAGTTCTCATAAGCTATAATTAAAAAAAAATTATTGTAATTATTAAATTATAAATAGCTCATAGTGGTTTATTAATCTCGAATAAATCAATCATTAATTTTTATATCTAATAAGTTGTTTTTTTTTTATTTGAGCAGTACCTATATTATTTAGGTTAACACTCATCTCCTTAAATATTAAAAAAGTAAAATAATTTTGTTTGAAATGCTAGTATAATTTTTTTTATATATTATTAGTTCAACGAAAAAAAAAAATACAACTTAATTTAAAACTTACGTCCATTAACACCTGAAACATGAAAAGTATATATGTATATTATAAATATTAAACAGTTGTAATATAGATCTTGGAAAATATTACACTTTTTTCAAAAAATACCTTAATTTCTTTATATAAACCATATTAGTATTAATTGCTATACTTAATTTTTTAAGTACCTGAAGTTGCTGACAGCACAGCCAAAACAACTGTTGACAAAAACAAAAAACTGCCTTGGAAATTCATATTTAGGATATAAAAGTATAACAACAAAGACGTTGATCTCATAACCAAGCTACAGCTCGTTTGCTAATGTAAAATACCCAACATTTATTTAATAAGTGTTACAATGTAAACAGGATATAAAAAAAATATAGTATGAGGAAATGACATAAAACACTGCGGTTGTTGTATGTTTTTATCTTTTAAAACGTATTTGATGTTGGTGATTTATGATATGTTTGAAGTATTATTTGACCAATATGGTTTAAGACTACAAATATTAGCATAAAGTTTCCGTATGTTGTATAATATTATTATATTCTTTATGTTTTTAAGCTGTCTCTCCCGTCACCGCCAAACTGTTTTGAAACCGATAACCTACATAATATCATGTCAATAGTAAAATCTTAACTGATGACAGTGTCAACACGTCATATTATGTTTTATTCCGTATCCTGAATTTTCGTTGTACGGAATGCGCCAACACATTGTAAATAACACACAATTTTTATTAAATTTTTTTAGGATCTTATTTTTCTTAGTGTCGTAACATTTAGCTTCGATGCAAAGCGAGAAGGTATTGGTTTTACTCTGATGTGTGTTTTTTTTTTATCTGTATACACTGTAACTTTTTTAATACTGGACCAATTCCTTCGAGTAGCAACTCTATAAATCGCAAATTTCATCTAGTTGGTACTTTGGGGGGGGGGGGGGGTAAAAGTTGAAAAAGTTTAATTCTTCACAGACGAAAAGTTGAAAAAACAAAAAAAAAAAAAAAACCGTACGAGTT